TGTTTTGTTTGTGGAAGGTGTGTTATGTTTGTTTCGCCACAAAGATTTGGTGGTTTGTTCAATTGGTTTCTTTTCTGTTTAAAGGTAATCATCGCACAGTAGCATTTATATATCATATAGAGAAGTATAAAGCACATAATACAGTATAACAGATAATCAGATGATACACTTGTAACACGGGATCGTTATTACTACTACTATATATATATATATTATATTGTGCTATGATAATAATTAATTAACGTTACTTATTGTACTTAACTTTTGTTACTTGTAGACGGTAAGCCTTCTCCCCTGGTTAGGGGTGAGAAGGATAGTAAGCCGCTCTGAGTCCCCTTAGGGGGAGAAGGATGGCATATAAATGTCGTAAATAAATAATTCTCTAAGCATACTGTTCCTGCATTTGAAGTCTAAAGCATAAAGATTGCTTCGACCATTTATTTATCGTATCAGAATTGAACCCAGGGTACAGTTGTAATGTAACTCTACTTTTAGAGTTCTACTAACTCTAAGAGTCTAAATAGCTTCTACTTCCACTGAAGTCTAAAGCAAACATTGAACTAAAATGGAGTCAGAGTCCTGAACATTCTCAGTTCTGATCACATGGTCTGCAGCCCCTCGCACAACAAAGAGGTTAGGTAAAATAACAATACACACACAATACAGTAAGCAATTATATACATGACAAGCAACTAGTGAAGGCTTGAGAAGGTTGTTATTTCCTCTTTTTGATTTGACCTTTCTGTTCAAAGACTACAAGAATAATTTAGTTCTGTGTAGACCTAAACTTTCAGCACGGTTTCAGCCTGTTCTTCTCCAAATACTTCAGAGAGCTGCTTTATCTTCACTATCAGTCCGTATTCCTAAAAGTAAATGTGTCATCCTGTTCTGAACCCTGTGTGACTTGATTTCAAAGTGCATTAAAAATATTGTGTTCTTTCAGACAGAACCAAGAAGTACTCCTAGAGACTCTTCAGCAAGAAATCTCAAAATTTAAAGAATGTAATTCTGTTCTTGATATCAATGTACTGGTAAGTCTCTTCTGTCAGTTTTGTTTCTTTAATCAAACACTATATACTTAGTTTCCACTCTGTATAAAAACACCACATTAGAAAGTCTGTTCTAAATGAAAAACCTAGCATAGGGTAAAATTTGATTTTGTTCAACAAAAACTTAACATCTCAATCAGAAGTTTAACATTTTAAATACTGCATTTAGGACTACAATATTGCTTGACATGCCTACCATGGGCACGGGGGCTTACTTTTTTGTAGATATTTTTATTAAGGTTTTCTTACAGAAACAAAAGGTTCACAAGGAAAAACTGGGGTGGAGCTAGGGACGGGTTTGAGGGAAAGAGATGGGGAAGGGGAAAAAGGTGGGTAATTGGGAGTTGGGTTGGGAAAACAAACATCTAATCGTCTTCATGTCGGTAATTATATTTTTTGTATTCTTTCCTTCATTAACAGCTGTCAGTCTTACAATCTTCTTTAATACTACTACTACTAATAATAATAATAATAATAATAAGACTTTATTTGTACCCCGCTACCATCTCCCAAGGGACTTGGTGCGGCTTACATGAGGCCGAGCCCACAATACAACAATAATAAGAACAGCAATAATACAAAAACAATACAAAAACTCATAGCGAAATAAGCAAAAAAACAATAACAATAACACGACGCATTTAAAAACCAATGGCTGGGCCAAATGTAATAATTAATTTTTTAGAAATAATGCTGGGCATGAACAGGAAACATGTAATTGGGATAGAGGTTTTGGAGAGGGCGGAAATGTGCAGACAATCTAAAATCATTATTAAAGTGCGTTTGAGGACATATTGCTGGGAGTTTCCTTATTCTGGGAAGGCACACTGAAACAGCCATGTTCTCAGGCTCTTCCTAAAGAGCATTGTATTCCAGTTTTTATCTTAAGTGAATAATTCATTTCCAGTTTTCTTGTGATATAAAATTCTTTACTAAAGACCACTCTATTTTTGTTGTATTCCATTTTTGGTTTGCATTCATCAGTTGAGTCAATTTGTCCATGTTCATAATGTCTATAATCTTCATTAACCATTGTTCCTGTGATAGAGTCTCATTTGTTCTCCAGACTTACGTTTAAATATGGTGTGTTTATTTCATATTTTGCTCCATTGCTATCAAGTAACATGAGTTATTCGTGTGACGTACAGAATAAAAACAAGGTTAAAGTCTATAATTGCCATAACACCAATATTAAAGAGCAAAAAACAAGATTTAGTTAAATCTGGTTGTTCTCTAACAAAGATTATAACATATATTGATTTGATTGGAAGTGAACCATGCCTACCCTTTAAAAAACTGGCCATAAATAGGCAGGATGAAACTGACTGAGGCCCCTTCTACACAGCTTGGAAAAAATCCCACATTATCTGCTTTGAACTGGGACATATTAGCAGTGTGGACTCAGATATTCCAGTTCAAAGCAGAGATTGTAGGTTATATGGCTGTGTGAAAGGGCCCTAAATAAGATCTAGGGATATGCCACAGGTTGTTAAATATATAAAATTAAAGATTTGAGAGTCTTTTCCAACTTTTTAGTATTTGGAGGAGGATCATTTGGAGAAGGATCATGTTAACATTTTACCAACCCAATCATAAATATGTCTAGTGAGGTTAACATTTGTTGAGCCAAGTGGACTTAATTTCTACTGTTATTGTACATGTAAGATTGCAATTTTACACGTATTTCATACTTCCAGTCAGTCCATTTTTGTTTATTACATTTTTGAAATGACTTAAAATCTGTTGTGTGGAACAAACGTATTTGGATCAACTCCCACTGTATTCTCATGTTTTTCCCTCAAAGTTTTCAGAAGCAAAGCATTATCATAATAAGTTGGTCAACATTAGAAAAGAAATGATGATGCTCCATGAGAAAACGTCGAAGTTGAAAGTGAGTATTCTTTCTCTTTTGGGTTAAAAAAGCAGCCTTGCCTTATATCCTTGAAAATGTTGCAAACTGATTTTTGCACATGTTTTCTTATTGCAGTGCCATTGTGGGTTTCCCAGATGGCCATCCAGTCAGATGTAATAGCTTGAAGTGAAATGTAATCTTTGTATGAATTGAGACTTAATGATTTACCAGAGAAATTTGGCTCTTAATGTTGTAATCAATTAAACATATTTCTTAGTAAACATATATAACAGTGGTAGCTATGTAGCAAAAATATATATAGCATATATAGCTTAAAAAGCCAATGGGATTTTGGCCTGCATCAATAGGAGTCTAGTGTCTACATCCAGGGAAGTCATGCTACCCCTCTATTCTGCCTTGGTTAGACCACACCTGGAATACTGTATCCAATTCTGGGCACCAGAATTGAAGGGAGATGTTTGTTTGTTTGTTTGTTGTTGTTTTTTTGTCGTGTCAGGAGTCGCTTCTGGTGTGAGAGAATTGGCCGTCTGCAAGGACGTTGCCCAGGGGACGCCCGGATGATTTGATGTTTTTATCATCCTTGTGGGAGGCTTCTCTCATGTCCCGGGAGATGTTAATAAGCTGGAATGTGTCCAGAAGAGGGCAACTAAAATTATCAAGGGTCTGGAGAATAAGCCCTATGAGGAGCAGCTTAAAGAGCTGGGCATGTTAAGCCTGAAGAAGAGAAGGCTTTGTGTTTTGTCTGTCTGTTTGTTTGTTTGTTTTGTTAAAAACGTAATACAAATGTCTAGTTGCTCCTGACACAATAAATAAAAATAAAAAATGCAATGTAATGTAATATAATGCAATATAATATTTATTATATTTTATAATGCATATAATATTTATAATATTATAATGTAATGCAATATAATAATACTACTAATAATAATATGATATTATAATGAGATATTTTATATTACATGTAATATTACTAATAATATTACAATATATTACAATATAATGGTATAGTACAATATAGTAATATATAATACTGATACTGTACTATGCTAATAATATACATTGCATGTATATATATCTTGTAAGCCACTGTGAGTCCCCTTCGGGGTGAGAAGGGCGGCATATAAATGTCGTAAATAAATAAAATAAATAAATACGGTGACTCTAAGGGAAACTTATCATGGGATTTTTGGGGGCAAGATTTGCGCCGAAGGGGTTTGCCTTTGCCTTCCTCTGAGACCTGAGTGTGATTTGTCTAAAGTTTCCATAACTGAGCAGGGATGCTAATCCTGGACTCCATGCTCAAACCAGCACATCAAGAGCCAAAAAAATTATCTCAGGAATCCTGGGAGATTAAAGTGTGAATATAAACTGTGAAGTAACCTTATTTTTGCCTTCAGCCCACTTACATAACTTCCTGCCATCCCACTCTTTCAGAAAAGAGCTCTCAAACTTCAGCAAAAGAGGCAGAAAGAAGAACTAGAGCGGGAGCAGCAACGGGAGAAAGAGCTCGAACGAGAGAAACAGTTAACTGCCAAACCAGCCAAAAGAACATCAAAGCTGGACATGTAGTGACTTGTGGAGCTGCTAAGGACATTCTCTGGACTGGCTGGAAAAGCAGAGTTATACCTCATAACCAGATATATATTTTTTCTTGCCGAGAAGCCAATTCGTACAATATGAATAGTTTCTGATTGCTGTTGCCATATATGGGAAGGTGGCTGGGATCTTGAGGTTTCAATAATGCCTTTTTGGTTAATGCTGTGTCACATAATATTGTCATGTCAGATGTTTTGCACAACTGGAGTAAAACATTAATGTCTGACTTTTGCAGTATCTTAAAACGGTCTGAAGTTGGCATATACAGATCCAAATTGAATTATTTTCCTTTGTTTACTGGACTCTTCTTTTTCTTAAGCCTGCTTCTCCTTTCTTGATGGTAATCGTGTATAGAAGGATATTATTAACACTCTGAACAGATCGAAAGCAAGTGGAGGCTTTGAGCCTCACATTTTCAGTGGCTTGTTTCGTTTAGTTAAACCTTTGTCTTATTTATGTAAACGCCGTTGTGTACCTCACCGTTCAAAGCGGCAAGTTGGTGAAAATTATTCTCAATTTAAAATGTGAGCACTTTTATGGATGACCGGAGATAAAGGCAGTCATTCATAGGCTTCCAAAGAGAATAAACGTGATGGCGTACTTCTTTAACCAGCAAAATCAAACAAGCCAGAAACATGTGTTGGCCTTTCTGTAAAAGAAAAGCACATAAATCCTAGAGTCCAGAAGAGGTGCGGGGGACTATAAAACCTACTCTTACCACATCCAGTTTGTAATAAAGTGTAAATGAACTTAGACTGTACATACTGTCTTTAAAATATATTGGAAAAATAAAAAAAGGAAAGATTTTTGCACACCGAATGTTAAGCTTGTTCCTTGTCTGCTTAATGTTCTACTTAATATATTTATATATCTCCCCAACACAGTCTTCTTGTATTGTCGAAGGCTTTCATGGCCGGAATCACTGGGTTGTTGTGGGTTTTTTCGGGCTATATGTCCATGGTCTAGAGCAGTGTTTCTCAACCTTGGGGTCGGGACCCCTGTGGGGATCACGAAGGGGAGTCATAGGGGTCACCAAAGACCATCAGAAAACACAGTATTTTCTGTTGGTCAGGGGTTTTGTGTGGGAAGTTTGGCCCAATTCTATTGTTGATGGAGTTCAGAATGCTCTTTGATTGTAGGTGAACTATACATCCTAGCAACTACAACTCCCAAATATTGAGGTCTATTTTCCTCAAACTCCATCTGTGTTCACATTTGGGCATATGGAATATTCCTGCCAAGTTTGGTCCAGATCCATCATTGTTTGAGTCCACAGTGCTCTCTGGATGTAGGAGAACTACAACTCCCAAACTCAAGGTCAATGCCCACCAAACCCTTCCAGTATTTTCTGTTGATCATGGGAGTTTTGTGTGTCAAGTTTGGTTCAATTCCATCGTTGGTGGAGTTCAGAATGCTCTTTGATTGTAGCAGAACTATAAATCTCAGCAAATACAACTTCCAAATGACAAAATCAATCCCCCCAAACCCCACCAGTATTCAAATTTGGGCATATTGCGTATTTGTGTCAAATCTGGTCCAGTGAATGAAAATATATCCCACATATCAGATATTGATGATTCGTAACAGTAGCAAAATTACAATTATGAAGTAGCAATTAAAATAATGTTATGGTTAGGGGTCACCACAACATGAGAAACTGTATCAAGGGGTCGCGGCATTAGGAAGGTTGAGAAACACTGCTCTAGGCATTCTCTCCTGACGTTTCGCCTGCATCTATGGCAAGCATCCTCAGAGGTAGTGAGGTCTGTTGGAACTAGGAAAAAGGGTTTATATATCTGTGGAATGATGTCCAGGGTGGGACAAAGGACTCTTGTCTGCTGGAGCTAGGTGTGAATGTTTCAACTGACCACCTTGATTCGCATATAATGGCCTGACAGTGCCTAGAGCAAACTTTTGTTGAGACAGCACAACAACAGAGAGGAAACAAACAAGGACATCCAATTACCTCTCAACAAAAGTTGACAACAAAAGTTGACATCCAATTACCTCTCAACAAAAATTCATGTTTTTTCAAATTATAATTCGGCCCTCCAACAGTTTGAGGGATTGTGACCTGGCCCTCTGTTTAAAAAATTTTGAGGACCCCTGACCTCGAGTTTTGGAGTTATGGTCCACTTACATTTAGAGAGCAGTGTGGACGCAAACAATGATGGATCTGGACCAAATTTGGCACGAATGCTTAATATGCCCAAATGCAAACATTGGTGGAGTTTAGGGGAAATAGACCTTGACATTTAGGAGTTGTGGTTGCTGGGATTTATAATACAATAACAGTATTAAATATTACTATATTGCACTATACCATTATATTGTAATATTATTAGTAATATTACATGTAATATAAAATATATAATTATAATATCATCTTATTATTAGTATGATATTGCATATATTATATTATCTCGATTTAAGATGGCATTAACAGTGGGGCCCCAGATCATGCTTGATTTTCCTGGTTTGAAGAGACCAGCAAAAATCTGTATATACTCAGATTTTTCCTGGCTTGAACAGAGAATGAACCCAAGAATGAAAAGAAATGGTACTCTGCACGTGCTTAGGAGCTCTGGTCACTTTTTAAAAAAATGCTTCTGGTACATGGCCTATACAGCCCGGAAAACTCGCAAAAACCCACTTTAAAAAAAGGTTTTCATTTGGTTTCAGCACACACACACACACACATATAGACTAGTCGTCCCCTGCCAGGCGTTGCTGTGGCCTAGTCTGGTGATCTGGAAAATAAAGTAATGAGAAAGTTTTGGTTTCTAATCTATGTAATTTATTTCTGCTTGTGGGTAAACAGTATTTCTTGCTGTTTCTTGGTCAGTGTTGATGTGGAGATTGTCTGGTTTGCCTACTCTGGAACATACAACATATAATTGTCCTTCTTTAGAGGTCCCTTTCACATCTAGGATACTATATCTCTCTGTGTGTGAATCATATCTATCTATCTATCTATCTATCTATCTATCTATCTATCTATATCTATGGCTGGATGGCTCTTTGTCAGGAGGGCTTTGATTACGTTTTTTTGCCCTGGTGAAGGGAGTTGGACTGGATGGCCTTAAGTATTTTCTGTTGGTCATGGGGGTTCTGTGTGGGAAGTTTACCCCCATTCTGTCATTTGTGGGTTTCAGAATGCTATTTGATTATAGGTGAACTATAAATCCCAGCAACTACAACTCCCAAATGTGAATGTCTATTTCCCCCAAACTCCATCTGTGTTCATATTTGGGCATATGGAATATTTGTGCCAAGTTTGGTCCAGATCCATCATAGTTTGAGTCTACAGTGCTCTCTGGATGTAGGTGAACTACAACTCCCAAAACTCAAGGTCAATGCCCACCAAACCCTTCCAGTATTTTCTGTTGGTCATGTGAGTCCTGTGTCCCAAGTTTGGTTCAATTCCATCGTTGGTGGAGTTCAGAATGCTCTTTGATTGTAGGTGAACTATAAATCCCAGCAACTACAACTCCCAATTAACAAAATCAATTTTTTGAGTGATGGTCACTCCTTGGGTTAGTAAATGTCTTGTGGCCAAATGTGGCGGAAATTCGTCCAGTAGTTTTTGAGTTACGTTAATCCCACAAACCAACATTACATTTTTATTTATATATATGTATAATATTACATGTAATATTACTAATATTACAATATGTTATAGTATAATATAGTAATACATAATACTGATATTGTACTATGCTAATAATATAATGTATTGTATGTATATATATCTATGTCTTGTAAGCCTTTGATTGTAGGTGAACTATAAATCCAAGTAACTACAACTCCCAAATGTCAAGGTCTATTTCCCCCAAACTCCATCTGTGTTCATATTTGGGCAAATGGAGTATTCGTGCCGAATTTGGTCCAGTTCCATCATAGTTTGAGTCCACAGTGCTCTCTGGACATAGGTGAACTACAACTCCCAAAATCAAGGTCAATGCCCACCAAACTCTTCTAGTGTTTTCTATTGGGCATGGGAGTCCTGTGTACCACATGGTTCCATTCTATCATTGGTGGAGTTCAGAATGCTCTTTGATTGTAGGTGAACTATAAATCCCAGCAACTACAACTCCCAAATGTCAAGGTCTATTCCCCCCAAACTCCATCTGTGTTCATATTTGGGCATATGGAATATTTGTGCCAAGTTTGGTCCAGATCCATCATTGTTTGAGTCCACAGTGTTCTCTGGATGTAGGTGAACTACAACTCCAAACTCAAGGTCAATGCCCACTAAACCCTTCTAGTATTTTCTGTAGGGCATGGGAGTTCTGTGTGCCAAGTTTGGTTCAATTCCATAATTGGTGGATTTCAGAATGTTCTTTGATTTTAGGTGAATTATAAATCCCAGCAACTACAACTCCCAAATGTCAAGGTCTACTTTCCCCAAACTCCACCAGTGTTCACATTTGGGCATATTGAGCATTCGTGACAAGTTTGGTCCAGATCCATCATTGTTTGAGTCCACAGTGCTATCTGCGTGTAGATGAACTACAACTCTCAAACTCAAGGTCAATGCCCACTAAACTGTTGGTAATGGGAATTCTGTGTGCCAAGTTTGGTTCAATTCCATCATTGGTGGAGTTCAGAATGCTCTTTGATTGTAGGTGAACTATAAATCCCACCAACTACAACTCCCAAATGTCAAGGTCTATTTTCCCCAAACTCCATCTGTGTTCATATTTGGGCAAATGGAGTATTCGTGCCAAGTTTGGTCCAGATCCATCATTGTTTGAGCCCAGTTCCATTACTGGTGGAATTCAGAATGCTCTTTGATTGTAGGGTGAACTATAAATCCCAGCAACTACAACTCCCAAAAGGAGAGACTTAAACCAAACTTCCTTCCTTTTGAGGTCCTTAATCTGGCATTTCCATTTGGTGGAAAGGAAACTTGCATACTCAACATGCTTCCCAGAGGCCCCTTCCAGGGATGAAAATAAATCAAAGGGCGCTCTGTACACGCTCAGAGGCCATTCCCTCCCCAAAGAGGGGGCGGGTCCTCTGTGCCCCGCCTCGCCCTGAGCAAACGCTCTTGCGCCACTGCCTTTGGATGGGCGAGGCCCTGGAGGGAGGGAGGGAAGGGGACTCAGGCGGGACGCCAAGCCGGGAAAGGAACCAGAGCGGCGGGCGAGTTGGTGGGCTCCTCCCGGCGAGGGCGCCCCCTTCCCACTTCAGCCAGGTAAGCAGGCAAGATTGCACCTGTTGGTCTCATCCTCATTTAGAACCAAGAATAACATTGTTTGGGGCTATGAGCCACTTTGAATAATAATAATAACAATAACAACAACAACAACAACAATAGCAATAATAATGAAATATCGATAACAACACTGATAATAATAGTGATCACTAATTGTGATTATACTGATCATAATGATAATGATTACTAGAGCATACCATGAGGTCTGCATTGACTTGAGAGTCCTATTGTAGTAGTAGTAGTAGTTGCTGTTTAATGCTTAGGCCATAGGTCTTCCACATACAGGACAAACACATACATACATACATACAGATGTATACAATTCGAAATACACAATTAAAATCTATCTGTATATAAATGCTCTGTTTTGAGTGACCCCATAAACTCAAAATCCGCTGGACGAATTGCTGCCAGATTTGGCCACAAGACACCTACTAACCCAAGGAGTGGCCGTACATTTGGGAGTTGTAGTTGCTGGGATTTATAGTTTACCTACAAAGAGCATTCCAAACTCCACCAATGATGGAATTGACAAACAAATACATACATACGAACAGATGTATACAATTCGAAATACACCATTAAAATCTATCTATAT